CACTGCCACATGGACAGATGTGCCTCCTCAAACACGCACAGTCACACACCCATTAGCACTCTCGCTGGCCACGCAATCAGTGGACACACAACATCCAGTCCACGCTGTTCCACAGAAGAAGATAAAGGTTTTATATACAACACAAGGCACAGTCTTTTTATGAGGAGCCTGTAATTTATGTTGGGTATAACAAACACATTGAATAAATTAGCTGCATTGATTTTCAAAGCGGCAGATGAACGCATGGTGCTTTCTGGTTACTTGACCCTTCAACTTGTATATGTTACGACCTCATCGCACACTAATAGCAGATCTGTGAGGCTGCCAATATTGTGGCAAATTCTCCAACAAATAGTAGACTTCGTAAAAACAGGCAAAATTAGCAAACCTTTGCCTGTGTCCATTTCATTGTAACCTGAATTTTGAATAAAGCCATATAAATAACACTAATAGGCATATGGAAACAAAACGCCATTCCGTAATCCATATTATCCACCTTTGGGAGATCTTTTCACTTAGTCATTTTAATCATTTTATCTAGACAACACATGACAAATGAGGGAAAACATAGAGATGTTAAATTAGATGTATGATACCGAGAATGTTAGGACACAGTTCATATCTATTCTTAGAACCGGTACTTCTCTGTCTGATTCCCCATTCCCCTTTTTGCTGCGTACTCTAGATAGTGACTCATCATCACAGGAGGACCATATATCCCCCCATCGGAGTTGTAGGTTAACATGGCTGTTTTCTGCCCAGCTTAGACATATGGTGGTGGTCGTGTGCAAGCATGCACCGCTCGCCTTCGTCCACCCAGGCTGTAGACGGGGCTGTTCCACTGTGGCACTCGGGTCATCATGGCATGTTAGCCCTGCTGCTCTGTTCATCCCTGCACCATTTTCTGCCGCTTTCAAGAGACACAATAACATTGCGGCTAGATTTTTTTAGCATCCGTTGGAATGTGATAATACTGCAATATAGGTGTGAGTAGTGTAGTAGGTCATGTATGTACATGCGGAAGGCAACCTTTTAATGACCAAATTACAATCCCAGCCTGTGGTCATGTTACTTGATGTTAGACTTTATGTATCATTCATATATTTTATAATATTTCTTCCTTTGAAGCATAGAAATAGTGTGTGTGTGTGTGTGTGGTATGTTGTTTTAGTCACAATTGTGTTCTGATGTAGCTCATGCATATGCATTTTACATTTTCTATGCTATGTTTAACTGGAGAACTGCAGTAAGATAATAAAACAATGTCTAAACAATATACCAGTTTAGTTTAGTTTATTTGTGCCAATAAAAAACAAGATTAAAAACACATAGAGATATATAAAAAACACGGGTGGGACAAAAGAAACCCCAAAGGGCTTATACAAGATGCCCACCTAACCTAACATTAAAATACACACACTGACATAGAAAATAAATATGACAGAAAAGAAATACAAGAAATATAACAAAAATAAAAAGACAAAAAAGACAAAAAAAAATAAAAGATTAAACAAAAACAACTACAACTAATAATATATAAATATATAAATCAAATTCTTATTTCAACCCATTGCTTTCGACAGCAAGGAACTCCGCAGTCTCCCCCTGTACACTGTCAATGTTACGGAAGAATCAATCATATGTATATTCTCATTCCATAATAAGACGCCACGGTACTTGATGGAAAACTGGCTACGGGAAGATTCATACAGAGGCAGATGGAGATTTTCAGCTTGTTTAGTGCAATGATTATGAAATTTCGAGTTTGAAAAAAAATAACATCCAAAAGTATAAGGTAATATCTGTCAACTTATATCTCACCTTAAAGACAAATGTGCAAATTTGGATAATGTTTATATCATAAATAGACAATAACTTCAATTTATAAAACAGTGGTGCACTTGGTACCAGAGGTTTTGAGAAGGTCGCTAATCTAGCAAACCTTTTCTGCAGTAGCACAATTTTATTTAGATTCAATGAAAATGTGCTCGCCCAGACAATATTACAGTATGTTAAATATGGATAGATCAGACTGTAGTATAATGTTAATAAACATGACTTGTGAACAAAAACTCTTATCTTTCTAAGGATCCCAAGTGATTTAGTAACCTTATTGCAGACAAGACCAACCTGTTCTCTCCAGGAGAGTTTATCATCAATAATAACACCCAAAAAACATGTTGATGAGACTTTAACTATTTCTTCATCATTTATATAAAGTTTAATTTGGTCATTGTCATGAATCTTTTTACCAACAAATAACATGAAATTGGACTTTTATTTAGAGATAACTTGTTTGTTTGAAACCAGCTTGAGAACTGGATACGATTATGATTTAGCTCACCTATTAAACTTTTTAGGTCTCTTTGAGAGAGAACAAGGCTGGTGTCATCTGCACAAAGGCAATGGGAATATGGATTCAGAAACCTGAGCAATATCATTTATATAAATGAGAAACAATAGAGGTCCTAATATGGATCCTTGAGGTACACCATGTTGTAAGCAGTTTCTTGTGGAATCATGACTGTTAATATGAACATACTGTTTTCTGTTTTTAACGTAGTTATAAAGCCACTTATGGACAGTGCCAGAAAGACCATATTTAAATAATTTTGAAAGCAAAATGTTGTGATTAACCGTATCGAAAGCCTTCGAAAGATCTAAAAAAACCTATTGCAAACTCATTCCTGTCTAAAGCTGTATGTATCCTATCGATTAATTCTAAATGGGCCATATAAGTTGCATGATTTTTTCGAAATCCGTATTGATGGTTATAGAGAACATTGTATTTATTTAAGTGCTCAAGGATCCTTTTATATACCAGTTTCTCCAAAATGTTTGAAAAAGAGTGAAATTGGACGGTAATTTGTAAGGGATCCTGGATCACCTGCTTTGAATAAAGGTATAACCTTAGCGATTTTTCGAGTCATAATGTATAATGCCCGTTTTCATTGATTGTACAAAAACAAATTTTTAAGGATAAACAATAAATGAAGTGACTTCCTTTATTAGGGATGAACGAATACAATCATGCCCTGGAGCTGAATCTTTGAGTTTGGATATAATATCGGTTACCTCCTTAACATCAGGAAGATTAAAATTATTAAAGTCTGGAAAAGAGCCCTTAATATAATCTAATGGATCAGCCTTTGTATCAACTATTTTTTTGGAGAGAGATGTACCAATGCTTGAGAAGAAATCATTGAATTTGCAAGCTATATCAAATGGATCAGTTAAAGAAGAACTTCCATCTTTAAAAGATGAAGGATCATTTAAGGAGGCCTTTTTCTTTTGAAGTAGTTGCTTAATAATCTTCCATGTATCTTTAATATTCCTTTCAGATTTAGCAAACTGATCACTATAGTACCTTTTCTTGGCAGCTCTAAGGAGATGAAATTTAAAGGAGTTGGTGATGAAATGTATTTTCTATAGATTTTCTATATCATAAGACAGTATACACAATGTATGCAGTATGAAATGCACACTGTACATTATACAACATGTAACTATATGCACAGCAAGCCTCTTTAAAATGCAAATAAAATGAGATGAATCAGAGATATTTATGGTCTACCCCAAAGCTCTCCCCCATCTATTTCTCCCTCTTCCTTCGCTCTTTTTCTCTCTCTCTCTCTCTCTCTCTCTCTCTCTCTTTACTGTGTCTCTATATGTCTTTCCCTCTTTCTATTTTTGCTAGCTTGGAGTGACTTTCGACTTTCCTGATTAATGCCTGGTTAATCCATTCCTTCATTGGCTTAAATATAAAAATGTAAAAATATGGTGGCTAATTTGTTTTAATTACTGTAATTTGAAACACCACATGGCTGGCAAGCTATTATAAGATGGCATCTAATACGTATTATTTTTTCTGCGTATTACCAGCTTCACAATGAATATCCTGCCTAAAATGATATATGAACACATGTGACTCCATTGCTGCCAGTTTAAAGACCTCAGTAACGTGTTTATGTAAGCTTTCAAACAACAAGAGAATATACTGTTATTCACTGCTATTATTCAAAGCTTTACTCAACAGAAGAGATTACTGCTGCTGACCTCCAGTCATTACTCCGTAAATGCCTCGATTACAGTTCACTTGTCTCTGACATTTCCCTATCTTCCCATCCCCACAAATTGTTATTTTCATTCTTTAGACCCTGAGGTTTGAGTTAGGCTTCTCCATAAAGGAGGCTTGGACTGAAAAGCCTCGCTCAGCCTTTTACATCGGTCACAAAGAGGCCGGCGTCTCACACACACGGCTCCAGAGAGCCTTTCAGGGAGCAGTAAACGGTTAGCAAAACGGATGAAACCTGCAATCCCCCTGCATTGTTGCTGCTCATGATGCAGCACAGTATCAACTGCCTTAGGGGATGTGTGTGTGTGTCTGAATGAGTGTATGTGTCAAAGGAAGATCTATACCAAAGACAGCGATGGAGAGAGGAAGCGCAAAAGAAGTCTGGGTTTATGCGGCGGTGTGTGGATTTATGGTGACGCGTGACGTATTTGTCCCGTGATAAAAGTGATTCATGCTCAGCACAGTGGCCGTCCTGTATGGGCAGAGCCAAAGATCATTCACTGCTCCCTCCCTTTATTGAGCCTCAGATTGCACATGAGCCATTTCTGCTGACTAAGTGCAACTCTATCTGTGGGGGAGGGGGTGGGGGAGTGGTCAGTGTTGAAATACAGTAGACACACCACCAGGCAGCGTGTAAAGAGCTCAGGTTGACCTGCCCGGCTTCATGTAAAATGGACGAGGAGGTAAGCCTCTCTCCCGTTTCACGTCTCCGGGACGAGCTCCTCGGTCGTTTCTGAAGTGCTGAGTCACGCCGGGCACCCTGGTCCGTGTTAGGCTTATCACTCCACCGCTACACCTGGCTCTGGCAGCAGCCGAGTTCTGGCGGCGCTCTCTGCACACACCTCACTGGTGCATGAGGTCACTCCCTGTTGACCCGCCATGATGTGGGGTTACTCATGGTGCCTCGGCACACCTCGGTGCTGCTGGTCATGTGGCTCAACTGGTAGAGCATGGTGTGAACATTGCCTGGGTTAGGGGTTCGAGTCCCACTATGGCCACCTGTGCCTGTGAATGCATGCACTCTTGGGCTGCCACTAGCGAGTATATTTTATAGTCGATTAATCTAACAATCATTTTTTCCCAATTAGTCATTTAGTCTAGAAAATGTCATAACTAATAGCAAATGCCATCACAAGTTACCAAAGTCCAAAATGATGTCTTAAATTTGCTTGCTTTACCTGACAAGCAGCCAAGAAAAAATAAAGTAACCAAACATTTGTATTTCTGAAGCATCAAGCAGCAAACATTTGGTATTTGTTCTTGATAAATGACCTAAAGGATTAATCGATTATAAAAATTGGTTGTTCGACTGATCGATCAATCGACTGATCGTTGCAGCTCTAATGTACTCATGGTATTGCAAGATGTAAAAGTGTCCACCAAATGGCATGTTTATCATTGTTTTGAATGCATTTAATACATTAGGACTATTAGACGTATTAGTAAGACAGGATGACATCATTTTTCAAATGATTTTGCGTTTCTAGACGATCAGAGTAGTGCGTGCAAAGCATACAGTGTGTGTCCCGGGGCGTGACTAATATCTCATGCTGCATAGAAATCAGTGGGCAAGTGTACTGAGCTGAAACCCATGTGCAAATTGGGCACAGTATCACAAATCATCAGCACTTACAAACATGTGACAGCCGTTGGTTTGTATAATCATGTAGTGATAGACAACATCTTTAAATTAAAACCATGCTGTTTAGTCAAAGGAAGATGATCATTTACTGCAAAAAAACATGTTGTCCAACCTTTTCACAGTTTTCAAAATGTTCTCTCCATAAATTTAGAGTAGAACGCACTTTTAATATTCCTTAAATATATTGTAAAATATACAATCAATAGTTTTTTTCCTGAACAGCATGAACTTTGATGGTTAATTGGTGGTCAATAGATTATAATTTAAATACAAATATGACATACATGATACATATACATAATATACAGCTTACACCTTGGCAATTGATAAAGGCCAACCATATGTCGAATGGGATTGGACATTGTTACTCGTCAGTGGATTTGTAAATGGTGCCAATCAGAAGAAGGGTGTGCATGGAACAGCTGATGGCAATCAGCATGAGACCGACCAACAGCTGTTGCTAATCAGAAGAGGAGTGGCCATATAACTGATGATCGCTAATCAGAATAGGCGTAAGCATGTGGCTGATGATAGCTGGTCATAAGCAGGGTTAGAATGTACATTTGGTCATACACCATGCAGACATACCTATAATCAATTACGTTACAAATTTGTTCATTACATGTTGTTCATTTTTTAATTATTTATCAGTAATTGCTTTGTCAATAACAAACACAAAATCAGTTATTCACAGTTATTCACATATACACATATCTAAGGCCTCTCCTTCTGTTATGTCCTTCAATGTTGTCAGTGTCATGTCTGTTGGTTGAGTGATTGACAGTATGAGCTGTGCTGGAAAGGCTTTGATACGTGTACAAACACCACATGTGACATTGATGAACTGGATTAACATGAATTCACTGCTTTTACTGGGCTAGGTTCGCCTGACTGGCTAATCCAAAAGCATCCTGTGTGTGTGTGTTTGTGCCTATCCTAATGCATCTTATTACAGCCATCACTGTGATTTTCATTTACATAATAAGGGCCTCTTCATGTTGAATTTATCTCTGAATATCTATATATCTTCTTTCTACCCTCCCTCCTCCCTAGGGCTGAACAATTAATCAAAAATATTATCAAAATCACGATATGGCCAAGTGCAATTAATAATAAATTATTTATTATAAAAGATTATAATACATTAGTATAAAAAACAACTCCCTTGTTATTCTCCTCTCTACAGGAAACAGTTGAATATGCCTTCCTCATCATTTTCACAATTGAGACCTTCCTGAAGATTATTGCTTATGGATTGGTGATGCACCAGAATGCATACGTGAGAAACGGCTGGAACATGCTGGATTTCGTCATTGTTGTTATTGGGTAAGTCTGCCGATTCATTCATTTGGTTGAATAACCCCAGTCGATATGAAACACCCCTTAGTCCTTAATGGATCTTGATATTGAAACTCCTCCATTGTGCTGTGTGTTGCTGCCTTTGTGAACGAGGTCATTCTGAGAGGGAGAGAGAGAAGGAGAGAGACAGAGAGAGACAGAGACAGAGAGAGATGATGAGAGAGAGGTGCGGCATCAAAGTTAAAGTTTCTTAAGCGTCGTCTCTTGCAGCAAATTGCTAACAGAGACCCTCATACACCCACAGTATATGACCCAGAAAAGACACAGAGAATAAATCAGAGCTTCACCACCACTGGAGTGAGTCATCACCATCTTACCATACTTCATCTCTTCTCCCACCCTCTCTTCATTTTCTTTCTCCTCTCTCTTCATTCTTTCTTTTCCTCGCTCATTTCACACTCTTCCTCCCAGCCTGCCTGGCTGTATATCGACTTCCCAATCCTCCCTTATTACGTCTCTTCCATTTTGATCTCCAAAAATGTGTACACTTTCTTGCTATGCTTAACATTACCTCGGCTCACACCTCTCGCCCCCCCCCCCCCCCTTCCTTTCCCTCCCGCATATTCTCCTCTTGTTATCTTCATCCTTATCTCTGCCTCTGTACCCTTATCTCTCTCCCTCTCTCTCTCTCTCTCTCTCTGCATCTCTCTATCTCTCTCCCTCTTTTCCCTCTCACTCTCTTCCAATACACATACAGTCCAGTGGGTAGCTGGGTCAGATCTCTGTCTGTGTGCAACATGCAGGCTTGATATGTCATGCAGTCAAACGCAGCGTCTGACACTCCAGCTATGACAAGTGAGAACCACGGCTGAACCACACAGGAACACTGCTTGACATGGCACGTTAAGATACTGCTTTCAATCCCTCAATATCCAGCTAAATATAGCAGTGCCAGTGTTTCACGCAAAGATTCTGCAATATTTTACTGGATTTTTAACCAGTCGTTATTGTAATATGTCTGTGCCAATATATATTAAACACCAAACAAAAATCAAATGCCATCATTCCTTCAAGCTAGAAATATCATTTACATATTCGGGGCAACCGTTAAAGATGAAGGATACTTTTGAACATTTACAGTTTTACGAATCCTATCGGGCGACGTGCCTTGTCAATACATTAGTAAAATCCCAATGCAAAGCATGTGTTAATAATCGAATCTTTAGACGCCTATTGGTGTAAATGTGACGTTTACATATTGAAAAGCCAGAGTTTTATATTTCCCCAGTGATTTTCAGGCTTTAGGGCAGCTTTTTGTTTTGTTGTCCTAATACCTGCTGAGTCTGTTGTTGTAGTAACTCCCTCCCTGATGCTTAGAATGCGTAAACCAAAAAAACTACATAATTTCCCACAAGCCAGCATTTTTTTTCACTGCTAGTGTACTATCCAGTACACCAGCACTTTATCAAATCCAAAGGGTCTCACCTTACGTCGATATCATCATGGCCGAAAAATGCACCACAAAGAGCTTTAAAATGAATGAACGTTTCTTAAATGCTTTAATACTAGACATTCGTGACAGATAGTCAGAGAAAGTAGGTATTTTCTTATTCATTCATTCCAATTCTGAAAATGATGATGGTGATATAAAAGATACACATTTGAAGAGAGAGACTTGGTATAGGATGGAGCAGGAGTAAGGGGACTGTGCTTTTTGGCCTAAAGTATACCCTCTGGTCTTATTGGCAGCTCCTTCCAGCGCTCTGAAGTCCACAGCTCTGATGTAATGAGCTGTAGTGATTTATTCTGTTGGCTAGGTGAGGAATGTCTAACTGAGTGTGATGAAGTGTCCACTCTTATAGCAGGAGGTACACTTTCATTTGTTATTCTTCCTGGGGATCGTGACACGCTATTACAGCAGTGCTGCTGGTCAGCAACTTTACATTCAGTAGTAATATAGACTTCTGAAAAGAAAGAAATCCATACGGAGTACAGACATTATGGGTGAGTTTACAAGGACCACAGGGTATAATAAAAGGATTTATTCAAGCGCTTTGTTTAACAGCAGTAATTGCTGCCCAAACCCAGAGGTGAAATGCTTGGATGTGCTCTGTGGGCTTTGTTGTTTTTTGTGCAGACTGTTTAGTGTCGTCTTGGAGGTTTTGACCAAAGATGAGAAGGCGGAGGATGCCGCTGTCGCCGCGGCCGCCGCAGCTGCCGCCGCTGCCTCCGCCGCCTCCGCCAATGCCCACCCGTCCATGCACGCCCACGGCGGCAAGCCGGGCGGCTTCGACGTCAAAGCCCTACGAGCGTTCCGCGTGCTGCGGCCCCTGCGGCTGGTCTCAGGAGTACCCAGTGAGTGTTCTGACCTCTGACCTCTGACCTGAGCAGGGGAACACAAACACCGGCGGCACACATGTCCTCCTGTCAACACCCCCGTGCCCCCCTGTTGTTAATTAGCGTTTTATATTGAGTCCCCTCAAGCCTAATGCAGTCACTTCATGACAAATGAGTGTTGTGCCAGATATTTTTTTCCTGTTTTGAATATATGGTATAATCATTTCATATTCCTCTTCTCAGCGAATATCTAGCTTTCTTATTTTTGGGTTGTTTTGCTGGAGCGGTTTTAGTCCATATGGCGTGTGTAAACACTCCATGAGGAGGACTCTGTAAATCAGAGCCTCAGAGATATGAGCTACCGAACAACACACAGCCGCAGACATTATGACGCTGTTGGAAACACACAAAAACAGCAGTTAATAAATATACTATTATATAGTTGTATATATAGATAGTTAATTGACTTCATTTGAGACCACCGGATGCACATTAAAGCCTATTATATTTTTGACCATATTCAAATATATGTAAGGGATAATTACAACGAGGTATGCATGTATCGAAAAATAATGCACTTTGTTGGAGGCAAACCCCCACCCTCCGGTTCTTAGCCCCCGCGTTGTGCATTAGTTTTCGATACATGCACACCTTGGACTGGATTATCCTGCTTATACCATGGCTACTTGCGAATCCTTACAAATATAATTGTGTTGATTC